TACATTTGTCAATTACTATTTATTTATTTACATATACGATAATAAAAAATCATACATGTAATTCTTAGACCTTTTCATAATGTAAACTGATACATTTCCTCTCCCGAGCGCTTGCTTCGTTTTTGTACAACACACTGGAAATAACAAAATGGCTGACACCATCATAAATTGCTGGTCATAAAAAAATAGAATACGCATGCGCATCATTATGCAAATTATTCCACTCACCGATTCCTATTAGTTGTATTCATGCAATTGGGCAGAAAAAAATGTAAAAAAAATAATAAAAAAATACATAAAAAATGCTAAATTTTAATTAAAATGTAAAATACAACAATGAATTGCAGCAGCCAATCATTAGTAACATTCTTACCAAGTTACATGAAAATCGTTTTAATGCTTCTTGAGATATAACTGAAATAGCTTAAAATTCACATATTATTATGCAGATGAGTCATTAATATGCATTGATGTCAACCAAAAACTAATCAAATCTGCGCATTGCCCCAGACAAGCTATATACCAAGTTTCATTGAAATCCGAACATTGGTTCTTGAGATATCGATGGAACAGACACACAGACAGACAGACAGACAGACAGACAGACAGACAAACTAACTGCAAAGACTCCCTTTTTGTGCTTCGCACACGGGAGTCAATAATATCAGATCTCAAGAATAATAAAGCTGCAGGGCCAGATGAAATCACCCATGAAATCATCAAAGGTAGTGGCAAAGTAGTGACAGACTCATTAAAATTGATGTTTAATGTGTGTCTCCACCTTGAGGTTGTCCCTGTTGATTGGGGGTAAAGCATAATAATACCATTACACATGAACGGCAATATAAAAAATCTGAATAACTATCGAGGCATTTCACTCAGCTCAGTTATTGGAAAAATGTATAGTAAAATAGTTGAAAAAGAATTAAGCAATTTGGTGGAATCTAATAATATTTTAGGGAAAATTCAAGGGGGTTTCAGGAAAAACAAACGGACAATTGACCAAGTGTTCATTCTAAAAGGGATAGCTTCAATTCGTAAACACTAGAAAAAGCATACATATTTTGCCTTCTTAGATTTTAAAAAGGCTTATGACAGCATTTGGAGAGAAGGTTTATGGTATGCTCTATGGCAGAATGGTGTAAAGGGCAAATTATGGCGTATAATAAAAAATACATATAACCATATTGAAAGTAAAGTATCATTTGGCGATATTGAAACAGATTATTTTACACAGAATGAGGGTTTAAAACAAGGATGTGTAGCCCCAACCTTATTCTCAATTTACATAAATGAATTCAAAAAACGATGATTCACTACTGTTAAATTAGATGAAATTTGTATAAATGGCTTGCTTTTTGCTGATGATGTGGTGCTTATTGCACCAAATGAGGACCAACTCAAATCCATGTTAAACTATTTACAAACTATTTCTGCAAACTATGAAAGATGAAAATTGATGAGGAAAAGTCAAAGGTGTTGATCATTAACAAGAAAGTTAACAAAAACAAAGATTGGCAGATTGGGAACTCAAAGACAGAAGAAGCTGCTGGGTATAAATATTTGGGTTGTTGAATTACACGTAACTTGTCAGGTCATACACAATGTACAAAAATGTCTGAAAAATTTAACAAGTTATTCCCCATTATGAAATCAATTCTTGGTAACCATGGAAATGTGAATAGAGTAGATTATGGTATATCCTTGTGGAACCACATTGTTAGACCTGCCTTAGAGTATGCCTGTAAGTTGTTAATATTTAGTTCAACAGACATGGAAAAGTTAGAAAGAATGCAACGTACAGTGGGAAAGTTTATTCTAGGAGCATACACAGCAAACAAAGTCGTTCTAGGGAACCTGGGGCGGTTAACTATGAAAAGTAGAGTCAGTTTATAAAAACTGAATTATTACAGGAGGTTGTGTTTAATGGAATCAACCAGATGGTCAAAAGTTATTTTTAATAAACTAACTGCAGTTAATGAATAAGACCTGGCCATGGCTAAAAAGCATTTAAGATATAGAAAGAACTATAAAGATAAACAAAAGTCAATTTACTAATCTGTCTGAAAGAAATATTAAAAATATGATTGTAAAAACAGTGATTCAATAGAAACATAAAATGGCAGAGAAATCAAGTCTCGTTCATTATAGAAAATTTAAAACAAATTTAAGATATTGTGAAAAATATTTAAATGCTGTATCCAACATCAAGGCCACCCAATTAAAATTCAAGGCAAGAACCTGAAACACTGGAGCATTTCATATTACATTGTGAATGTTTCTCAGCACAGAGAAAAACCCTAATGGAAGGCATTAAAATATTTAAAATGCTCCTATGCAACAAAAACGAAATAAATTTACATAAAGACCTCATAGCAAACAAAGAAGTGCTAAGTTTAATCCTGGGTGACAGTACAAGGCAGTATAATTCAGTACTGTGTGACGAAATTGATGCCATGGAAGAAGTATACAGATAATATTTAATATTTTTCCAATGTACAATGTCCTTCTTATATATTATATTAGTTTTCTTATTTTTTCTACTTTTAGATGTTTTTGTTTATATTTTGTTATTTTAGCTCATGTAACTTAGTTTCTATTTTGTCTATCGAAAGTTTTCTTCATTAGCCTTTGAGTGAAATGTATTTTTTATTTGGTGCAGCTCCTAAATTACATAGGGAGCCCCTGTTACAAAAGGGAAGCAATAAATAAATAAATAAACCCGTGTCACTGAACTTGAAAAAGTTTACTTGTAAGCGAAATGTCCATATTTATGCATGTATTTATAATATTCGGGCAATAGTTGAAAAAAGGGGAAATAAAAATTATCTTTCTTTTGTTTTCAAGCTCTGGTGTATCATGCTTAGCTTTATAACAATAAATATATATATATGATTTGTATGTTTATGTTATGAAGGTCAAGAATGGTTCGACAAGGTCACAGATCACAGGAAGGAAATGGGGGCCGTAGAAGCTAATATGATGGTACTGCACGCTTTAGATGACACTGCATGTAAGTTAAAACCCTTGTGAACACTCTTGTACAATGCCGACCGTGGACACAGCACTAAACCCCAGTGTGTGCCGTATCTGTCGAACGCTCCAGTTTCGAGGTAGTTCTGTTGAAGTCAATACATTTTATTTTACAAGAGCAATTAATGTGCCATACAATGACGTCATAATATATTTCTTCTACCACCTTGCCTGACTGTGATACAATATCTTCTACTTTGCAGGGTTTTTCAACCTACGAGGGGAGGACATACCTTATAACCCAGTATTCTTTGCGTATACTATAATAGAATTGGAGAAAACGACGTGAGTCAAAATCCAACATTGCATACACTCAATAATAGCTAGTTCTCGGGATGAATACAGCACCATGTACCAGCTTATCGACGCAACTCGGCCAGCACACTTACCGAAGCAACTCAACGCGACATAAAGACCCAATATTTAGTCCGTCGCGTCGCTTTGAATATCGAACACAGAGCATCCCCTACGACACGACAGTCACGTCGGGTTGTGTCGTAAAGGGTGATATGTGCCGCGCTTAAGTCTTTCTCGTCGGGTCGTAGTGTATGACATACCTTGTGTTTACATACACACAACGCGTCGTAGTGTATGACATACCTTGTGTTTACATACACACAACGCGTCGTAGTGTGTGACATACCTTGTGTTTACATACACACAACACGTCGTAGTGTGAGACAGACCTTGTGTTTACATACACACAACGCGTCGTAGTGTATGACATACCTTGTGTTTACATACACACAACGCGTCGTAGTGTATGACATACCTTGTGTTTACATACACACAACACGTCGTAGTGTGAGACAGACCTTACGTTTACATACACAACGCGTCGTGTGTGACATATCTTGTGTTTACATACACACAACGCGTCGTAGTGTATGACATACCTTGTGTTTACATACACACAACACGTCGTAGTGTGAGACAGACCTTACGTTTACATACACAACGCGTCATAGTGTATGACATACCTTGTGTTTACATACACACAACGCGTCGTAGTGTATGACATACCTTGTGTTTACATACACACCGCCAGTATAGACACAGACCTGTTGTATACAGAGCTTGGACTACAACCAGACACTTCAGTTGGAGCGCTAACGAGCGAGTAACTCCGTTTATTTCTCAACGGGAAAACAGAACCAACATGGCGGGGAAAACACAACGAGAGTACAGAGCATGCGTAGCAAAATGTAAAGCGAACACAAGAGGGCGTTAAAATGATTGTAAATACAATAAACACACATAGTGGCGTAACCACTTATTGTCTTTAACATACATCATTTTCGAAAAGACTAAAGAAAACGCATGAGGAAAAATGACAGGCAACATGATAATTCAAAATTGTTGTTGGAAAGACACAAAAAATAATCTAAACTGAATACAGACTTAAAAGTCCATGACATAGTCTTTTAGATGCTTGATCGTCTATGTTGAACGGGCTGCATGACTTTTGGATTATCATCAGCCAGGGATGTTGGTGTCTGGTCTCCAGGAGTCAACAATATTGGGTTTATTGAGCCAATACTTTGCGACTCAGTTTCTAAGGGAGTGTCAGTGCAACCTGTTGCCGGTGTTAGATCGGAAGGTATACTTGGTGGTATTGGTGGATGTGTTGGAGATAGTGGAGTGTCGTCTTCGTCCAGATGATATGACATAGGGTTTTGATCGGTGTCTTTCGGA